TTGCTACTGGGGACTGGGCTGTCACTGGTCCGAGGCCATTGGGTTCCAGAACTCCACAAAATCTCGGGGTTTGCGAGGTTTGGGGTGAGGTTCAGTGGGTGGTGACTTTGGGTTCAGGATTCAGGCCGCACTCTTCATTCTTCCTCCAACACCTCTACTACGTGCTCACAAGGTCTATACTTGGGATGGTGAGGGGGTGGGTGCTTCGAGCATTTCGAAAAGCTGCTCTTTTGCAGCCAGAACACTCTCGGTGTGGAGTGTCAATGCGCCTGTTGCAGACCGCGTAAACAAGGCCTGTGGGCGCAACAGTTCCCGGCGATTCTCTGAGCTCTGAAGTTCTGCCGGCACTCTGAAGTGTCTGCCGGGCTGGCAGATACAACGGATGTGTTTTGCTTTGCCAGGGTTATCGTGTACGTAGCCTTTAGCACAGACCCTATCGATTGTACAAGGCCCCTCCACAAGGACATCAAACAACCCCCCAGCAGCGAAACCCTAAACCCTAAACCCTCAAACCCTAAGCGGCCCAAGGTCAGGGTTTATACGGGACGTTTGGGTGCGGCTTCTTGGAGGTTCATGACACTTAAGGGCTTATAAGTGGGTTATAAGTACAGTCATCATTGGTTAGTAAGTACCATGACCTCCAAGTAGATTCAGGAGTTGAGGCTTTTTGTAGGGCTTTATCTGGCTCGGCAGTGAATCTGGAACTTGCACACCCTCTCTCTCCGACTTGCGCGTGTCATCCTTGCGCACGGGCCTTGAGGGTATAGGGTGAAGGGCCCCCTAAACCCTAAACCCTAAACCCTAAACCCGAAACCCGAAACCCTAAACCCCGACCTGATGGGCCAAAACCCGGATCTTTGGCCGGATCTCCAGTATCTCTTCGTACCTCCAGCTTTCTGGGCTACACCGGATTTCAGCTGAGTTGGAAGGAACTTAAACAAAAGCTCTTGCCTATAGCAAATACTATACTACCCCGAGTCTTGAGTTCACTTATAAAGTTGGAACGTGGTTTAAGGATGATTAGAGCTAGGATTCCCTGTTAGTAACCCTCTTGGGGTATGAGTAGAATGACGTTCCAAACTTTGGGGATTTACCCTTGGCTGCACTTAGCAGGGTAGCTCTAAATTTAATGTTTAGCTGCCTTGTTAAGAAACCCAATAAACCCCAAAAAGGCTAAGGACCTAAAATTTTGGGCGAAGGTGGTCTTGGGGTGGCCTTCAGGGCTCCGCTTTAGGATTTTGGGAGGGGGGGGGGGGGGGGGTTTTTCAGGGCTCAAACTGTGGGTTTAGGGTGGACCCACCAGACATCTCGCCCCAGTGCATTCACTTTCTGTGGAACTTGCCTAAACTCTAAACCCTAAACCCTGAACCCTTTTTTGTCCTTAACAGAGGAAGCATTCAGGCTCCTGGAATCCACTTCCTGTCCCGGAAAAGCCGTGTCCAAACTTTGGCCGCCCTAGCAGGAACATTCCGTTTCTCGTTCGGACCTGGGTTTAGGGTTTAGGGTTTAGGGTTTCGGGTTTAGGGTTTAGGGATATTCCGTCTGCTTGAGGATGCCTATGGACCCTTACCAGAGCGCGAAGATGCACGAAAGACCCGAAGCCCCGCAGCTGAGCTGAAAGCCCTACACATGCACCCGACCTACAGAGTTTAGGGTTTAGGGTTTAGGGTTTAGGATTTAGGGTTTAGGGTTTAGGGCTGAACACTATGGCATTCTAAACCCGAAGGCAAGTTGCGCGAGGGGCATCAGCAGACCTCGGGGCTGTGAGCGAGTTGCCTATGCATATGGGGCTAGAGGTTTGGGGCTTCGGCTTGCGTCGGGTGCGTTCAAAATAAGAAAATATATACATGCATACATGTATAGATACATTGTGTATATATATACATATTTTTTGCATACATTGATATTTGTATATAGTTTCATTTCAAGCAAGTGTTGGGATCGCTTTGGTAGGACAGTCCTCCAGACCAAGCTTGCCAGCTTCGATCCAAATTCTCTGCACCAAATCCGAAAGCCCTGAAACCCGAACGCTTTGCACCGCCCTACACCCTAAACCCTAAACCCTAAACCCAACACAAACCCAAAACCCTAAACCCTGAACCCACGGACGGCCTTCGGCCGTCCGCAGGTGTCGCTGGCCCGTGGAGTGGTCCAGTACAAGCCTGGGCTTGGGTTTAGGGTTTGGGGTTTGGGGTTTAGGGTTTAGGGCTGAGGGTTGAGGGTTGAGGGTTTAGGGTTTCGGGTTTAGGGCTTAGGGTTAGGGTTTAGGGTTTAGGGCTTAGGGTTTAGGGTTTAGGTTTAGGGTTTAGGGCTTAGGGTTTAGGGTTTAGGGTTTAGGGTCTGCGGTTTAGAGTTTAGGGTTTGGGGCTGTGGGTGTATATGGTTCAGGGTCTAGGGTTTAGGGTGTAAGTGTAGGGTACGGGTTTATGGTATAGGTTTTTTGTGCTTAGGGTATAGGGTTTAGGGTATAAGGGCTTAGGGTATAGGATTTAGGGTTTAAGGTTTCGGCTTTACGGTTTGGGGTTAAGGAGTTTGGGTGTATCGGGTGTCCCAGATGGTTTTTTTGTTCGCCGCCCACCTTGCTAACACAATACGCGTCACTCTGCCAAGATGGGGCAGAATTAAGTAGGGTTTTATTGCTTCGGGGACAGGGCTTCTAAGGTTTCCATGGGACAGGGGTTTAGGGCTTCGACTCTTGGGCGAGGATTCATGGGTTTGAGGTTTAGGAGTCTTACGGCGCCCCTAAAGCCCTGAGGGCTTGGAGTTTTAGGGCTTCCGGTTCTAGGGTTCTAGGGTTCTAAGGGTTTAGGGTTTACCGCTTTTGGGCTCGGAACCCGGGACCATACTTCGCAAAACCTTTCACCTAAATCTCATGTCGTGACTGGATTGAAGGTCGAACCCACTTCAAGCCACTTCAAGTTACGGCGGCCCTTTGACTTAAACCCTCGCTCTCGGGTACTACGTCAAAACCCTCAAGCCCAAACCCTGCCAAGCGTCGCCGCCGTGTTCGGCGTCAGCAGTGCCTTAGACGCTATGATTTATGTTGAGCTGCCGAGGCTGAAAGCCTATTCGCCACCCGCCAAGCAGATGACCCACACTGCAGGCCGGCGCAGGTTGGGGCTTGGTTCTCTTTTCCCACGCACAGCTGGCCCAACCGCAAGGCAGGGTCTGGATGTCTCTTCGATGAAAAACCTCTGCGTCATGGCTGTTTGCGACTCGTCACCTAGTTCTCCCCCCCCCCCCCGCTCCGCAACCCCCAACTTGTGGAGCTTGGGGCTAGGTGAGGAGTCAGAATGCAAACCAGTAGTGCCGGCTAATCAGCGATGCTTGCACGCCCAAAGCCTGGCGGCGCAAACACACAGCTTTCCCTGATCAAGGTGGGTCTGCCGCATTTGTGTCAGCCTTCTCCCTGATGAGAATCTCCTGCTTAGGACATGTCCTTTCACACCCTCGATGCCCGCCAAGGCGTGGGACATCCCCGTGCAAGCGTGTTGTTTCGCGTGTTTTTCTTATCCTGAGAGGTCGACAACACTGGCAGCGTGGCAAAGTCATGGACTTGGGGTGGTCGGGGGAGGGGGCCGGGGGTTATAGGGCCTTGCTAAGAAAACACGATTTTGCGATTTTTCGGGCGCGTCTCTGCATGTCTTGGCGTGCAAACTGCATGTTGTTTTTTGGTTTGGGGAACATCGCATTATAAGTTTTGGGCACTTTTCGCTTGGGTTTTGCCACTACGAAAGAATGCCCACACGATGATAACGTCCGTTCGCGTGCGAATGGTCAGAGCACCCATGCCCGCACCAGGATAACGTCCGCGCGCGAATGGTTGGCGCATCCATGCCCATACGATGATAACTTCCATGTTACCAGTGCATGCGCGTTGTTGAAAAGTGGGCCTTTTCCCTCCCCTCCCCCCCCCCCCCTGAAACCACCCCAAGTCCATGACTTTGCCTATCAGGACAAGAACAACACGCGATCCGTTCTTGATGAGGACGAGGATTTGGACTCAATCTTTCATGCGAGATCTGATGCCCTACCGTTCGTCCGAGTTCGGCCGGATATCCGAATCGCACCTCCAGTTGCGCTGCATCAGGGAATTTCAAATACACCCCCCACAGCTCAACTCCGCTGTGTGGCCTACCTCAGAATTTTCCACTAAACCGTGAACCCAAAACACCCCAAACAAGCCAAACAAGCCGAAGGCCACTGGAAGCACAACACACATCGCTCCAGTTTAGAGGCCAAGCCGCTGCCTGACTCACATTGTTTGGCATGTCCTCCTGCCAAGGCTTAGGGTTTAGGGTTTAGGGTTTAGGGTTTAGGGTTTAGGGTTTAGGGTTTAGGGATTAGGGTTAGGTTTCACAAGTTGTTACCTCCGCTGGTCCATCCAGCGATGCAATGTCCTCCAAAAAGCTGCTGTCAGCAACAACTGCTGTCTGAATCTTGACTGTCCACATGAGGGTTTCCGAAATTGGCGGTACCCTTCTGAACACCTTATTATAAGGGGATCCTGCCACTTGTGGGTCCCTAAACCATAAACCCCTTTTTTCGCAAATGCCCACGTAGACTTTGCAGGTGACGCCTTCGAGTCCGCACGGGATGCTCATCCGGCTGGGCCAGCTCGAGCAGTTGGGGGTTAGGGTGTAGGGTTTAGGGTTTATAAGGATTATAAGGATTATAAGGATTATAAGGTTTATAAGGTTTATAAGGTTTATAAGGTTTATAAGGTTTATAAGGTTTATAAGGTATAAGGTTTAGGGTTTAGGGTCTAGGGTTTATAAGGTTTAGGGTCTAGGGTCTAGGGTTTAGGGTGTAGGGTTTAGGGACTTCTTCACCCGAAACCATGGACACTCGTAACATCATGATTTTACCGGTTCCGCTCTGGTAGAAGCATGCTATCTCGGAGCATCTCGAAGCCCAAAACTCTCTACAGCACGTAGAGGTGTAGGTCTGAGTTACCATCCACTGGCATCCTAAACCCTAGACGCCTATATCAATCCTGATCAAGCCGCACACCACTCCAGCAATGGAACGATGCAAAGAAAATGATAAACCACCGGCACCTCTGCCGCGGGCGCCACGGTCGTGGGGCCATGCACTACACGCTCGGCGCCGGTACGTCGATCGACCAGACGCAGGTACTCATCCTCCACAAAGGCTCGGTTTTGGGCTGCGGGACTCTGAGATCAAGGCCCCTCTCGGCACAAACTGCGGATACACTTGCTTCATAATGACAATGCAAGTCAGTAACAAATGTCGTAATCACTACGTCGAAATAGCTCTTACAAGTAGTTGAAATCCTGACTCACAACTCACTTTGTGTCCGCTTCGCTTTTGCTAGTTTTTGACAATGTATACGACACGGCCCAAACAACATGCCACATAATCCTGAACAAACAACTGAAGAACCGAAGAATCCACCACCAGAAAAACAAATGCTTTTGGGAACTCCTGAGAACAGGACTCATACTTGGAGGTTCAAAGGGTAATTAGTTGTAAGTAGGGTGAGGGGTAACCTAAGTAAGGTTATAAGTATGGTTACCCTCTCGGTTCTACTGGTCGACAGTACTGAGAGAGATTGTCTGACTTTTATGTCTTATAAAAGCAATGTGAGAGCAAAAGTGACCCGCCCGACTCTTGAAAATGAGGAGTGACAAAATACCCTTCTGCTCACAAGGAACAGCATTACCTCTCTTCTGTCTTGATGATTTATGATTTTCTCCGCTTAGAGAAGGTAGCAGCTCTGGTACTTGAACAAGAAAAACAAGAGAGTAACGTTCTCGTAGCAGAGCAGGCCTGTTTTCTACAAGTTGATAGTTGTTGCCATGTATGACAGTTCCTCCCACCGACTGATGGAAACAACCTTTTTTGTTGAATGAGAAACGCCGTGTTGAACCGGCATAAATTGGAAAACTCGAGCGCGACGCTCTTAAGGTCAGAATCGAAACTTGAACCCTCCTGGCCTCGTAGCCTTGAGCCCTTACCTAAACCCTAAACCCTAAACCCTAAACCCTAAACCCTAAACCCCCTGTGAACCGGAACCTTCGGAAGCCCGCACCTTGCGTACCACCACCTTGCGGCTCATCCGTACGAGCTGCCTGGGTGGAGCATGGAGCTGGTTCAGGCCCAGGATTCCGCAACATGGGATACTGCCATGAAAGCCAGGATTCTAGGGTTTAGGGTTTAGGGTTTAGGGTTTAGGGTTTAAGGTTTAGGGCTACAACATGCGAAGGCAAGCATTAGCATTGGGGTAAGGTTTCTTGGAGTTGAAACACCCCCACCATGCTGGAAGATTGGGCACAGGATCCAAGCTGGGCTTTGTTGTTGCGTGGTCATTCCTGGAGGGTGTAATTTTGCTTTCCCATGGCATTGATGCTGTGTGATTGGCTAACAAAGAACATATTATTTGAAACCGGCCTTTTATGCCGGAACCTCAACCTTCAACCCTGAAACTCCATGCTCTGGGCAGATTCTGGCGTCAGAGCTATCGTCCGAGAAAGGATGGTGGTTACAAGCCAACTAGAAGCCCTGCAGCCCCAAAGACCTAGGGTTTAGGGTTTAGGGTTTAGGGTTTAGGGTACCCTTACCTCAGAAGGCTCCTGACAGCCTACGTCCTGCGATGACCCCATGTCGACCTAACTCCGCACGCCGGAGCCCCTTAGTTGTCCGAGGCGAGAATCTCGACTCTCATACTGTCCTGGCCGAAAGTTTAGGGCCTAGGCTGTTTGACGGAAGGACCCACGCAAGGGGATCATCAAGCCTGGGTCACCCAAGCAGGTGTAAATTTGGGTTTAGGGTTTAGGGTTTAGGGTTTAGGGTTTAGGGTTTAGGATCCCCGACCATTCTTCAGCGGCAGTGTAGTCGGCAAGCAGCCTTAAGCACCCTGAGCCCAAACAACCTCGCCCCAAGATCCTCAACAAAAGCTTGCACTGCAGCAGGCTGCTCATAGGCATCCAGCATCAACCTTGCGGTCTCTCATGATGATTCGCGCAATCAGGCAATGAAGTCTTATGTATATGGGAAGCCCCGCATTGCGAACTTTGTGCCCATTGTGACTGCGAGCCTCAACGTGCCTCAACGAATGATGATGTGAGGAAGGGAGGGGTCCGGGGGAGGGTTCTGGTTCGAGTCTAGTTGTGACAACAAGCGAAGGTTGGGTCGAAACTGAAACGCGTTCCTTACAATGGTGACCCAACCAATTCACAATGAGGACCCCTGTATGGTTCAAGGGCGCCTTTCCCGCTTGAGGGGTCATGCTGGGCTCCCTGGGAAGTTTAACCCTATAGGCGTGCAATCAGGACATTTGCGACTAAGCGCTGAGCGCCTCCCACCCCAAAGTCGGAACAACCCTTTCTTTCTCCAGCGACTTTAATCACCAAAAAGGCGGTGTAGCTTGCCACATCCCTAAGCATATGCCTTAGATGGACCCTCGAACGTGTCGGCGCACCCTAAACCCTCAACCCTTGCCAGGGGGCAGGGTCGGACCTTCGTGAACGGAAGTCGATCCATTCAGCTCGTTTTTCACGACCGCGTACAGCTGCTCTTCCACCAAGAACGAATAGCGCCAGCCCAGGACGAACTGGAAGCACGGCGCTGTTCCCCCGAACCCTACACAGCCCGTTGCCCATTGGGTTTAGGGTTCAGGGTGCAGGGTTTAGGTTTCCGATCCCTGTGTGTTTTTCACCCCTCGAAGCCAGAACGCTAACCAGCCAAGCAGTGTCATAGGTACGTCGTTACAAGCAGCGTTATGCCCACCCTCACTTGCGTACCTGTCTGCTATAGGTACAAAGCACTAAACCCCAAACCCTAAATCCCCTCAAACAGCCTAGACCTGAGCCTCAACAATCCCCCAACAATGCAAGATGCAGGGCTGGGCCTTGTTAAATATGAAGAACTTGCCCTTTCTGTGAACCCCCCCACCCCTCCACCTTGGAGGTTCATGGGTAGATATAGGTAGGGTTATATGTAGGGTAACGACACTTCTAACCTTACTTAGGGTACTCATAACCCTACTTATAACTACCCATGAACCTCCTACTCTAGGTTGGCCCTTCTACAGTCCTGAAGCTCTCCTGAAACCTGGATCTTCTGGTGGACTGAGGAGCTCGACCCTCAGAACCGCTTCAGGGCTTAGATTCCCGCACCTCGTACGGACTCGGGTAGAAGAGTCCTGGACATCAAGGGGCACCCTAAAAACTACATAAATATTTTCCATATAAGGGTAGTAAAGGTGATTCTCTTTCATGTTTTGGGGCTCTTCAGCAAAGAGTAGTAAGGAGCGTGGTTTGCAAGGCTTTGGCTCAGCCCTGAACTCTGAATCCTAAGCACGGCGCTAAAAAAAATTTGAACCCCAAGAGTCCTCAAGCCCCGAGCGTGGTCGAACCCTGGTCTGTGCGGGGCATTAGCACTTCTTAGCAGGAAGCCGCGCATCAGTGCTTAACCTGAACCTGGCAGCAACCATGGTAATGAACTGCACTGCCCCCGTCCCCCCACCTCCGCCCCACCCGAAAAAAAATAAAATGAGGTGCCCTTGTCCGGGCCTCGGAAGAATATACGGTGAACGTACAACCCTTTGCAATTGGACAGCTGGCCCCAAAAGCGCGCATACGAGGTGTGGGCAAGCTCCATCAACTCCCAACGCAAGCTGCACTCACCTCGAATGTCGTAATCGTATGATGTTTCGTTGTGTTTCCTCAGCCCTCAGCCGATATCCCACCTGGCTCACGGACCAGCCGAAGGATTCCAGAGCTCCTCAAGGGAGGCACTGAGGCTTGTGTTCCCAAGGAGCATGCTTTTGTTTGTATCGGTGTACACATGCATGTGGTGGTTCTTTTTCCATGGACCAAACTCGAAGGTAGAACTGCTTGTGCAGTATGTATTCGAGCGCATTCCCTCTATTCCCAAGCGCTGCTGTTGACATAAGGGCGACCTTTTTAGGGTACAAGAGTAAGAGTAAGAGTAAGAATAAGGAGTAAGAGTAAGAGTAAGAGTAAGAGTAAGAGTAAGAGTAAGAGTAAGAGTAAGAGTAAGCGCCGCCGCCGCCGTCATCGCAGAAGTAGTAGTAGTAGTAGTAGTAGTAGTAGTAGTAGTAGTAGTAGTAGTAGTAGTAGTAGTAGTAGTAGTAGTAGTAGTAGTAGTAGTAGTAGTAGTAGTAGTAGTAGTAGTAGTAGTAGTAGTAGTAGTAGTAGTAGTAGTAGTAGTAGTAGTAGTAGTAGTAGTAGTAGTAGTAGTAGTAGTAGTAGTAGTAGTAGTAGTAGTAGTAGTAGTAGTAGTAGTAGTAGTAGCAGTAGCAGTAGCAGTTGTTGTTGTAGTTGTAGTTGTAGTTGTAGTTGTAGTTGTAGTTGTAGTTGTAGTTGTTGTTGTTGTTGTTGTGGTCGTTGTCGTCGTCACGGTAATATCAGTAGCAGTAGCAGGAGCAAGAGCAGAAGGCAAGACACCGGTTGTAGCACACCAGCTTGAACGTGGGGGAACACTCCAAAGAGCTTACAGTACCCTTCGCAATCCTTTGTGAGGGCAGCACGTTCCTGTTTCCTTAACCCCCTAAACACCACAAACGAGAAATACTGCCTCTTCCACCAGCAAAAGCTTCAGGCGATACCCTGGCGCGTTTGCCCGCGGACTCTGCTTCAGGTGTGCATCCTTCATGGAGGGAGGCAGTAGGTGCCAAGCTCTTGCAACTTTAGGTACAGTACCCAAACGAAAACTGCAACTGGGAGTCCAGAACCCTCTTAAGATTTTAATCGTAATCTTAATGACGTTTAGGGATTTGGGTTTAGAGTCTGGGGTTTAGGGGTCTTGAACATTCAGGATAGATATAAGCAGAGAAATAAGGTCATACCAGCTATAACTATAGCTGCGCTACTCAGAACCCCACGTATTATACTAGCCCTGAACCTTCAAGCAAGTCCCATTCACACTCCCCCGTCCTGTTCTCGACAATGACGGAGGCTTGGGCCTCCGATGCTCAGCAAAGTCATGGCCAAAGGCTCCTAAAAATGATGCCGGAATACTAAAACAAGATATGTCCATATATAGTTTTTAATGTAACATATTAAGCCCAAAGCCAACCCAAACCTAAACCCTCAATCCAAAAGCCCTGAGCCGCATGATGCAGGCAGGCCACATTGATCATCAATGCCTCCTCCGTGCCATTGACCTGAACTCTACATACTTGGAGGTTCATGGGTAGTTTGAAGTACTGTTAGAAGTAGAATAACTAAAATTATAACCTTACTTAGGCTACCTGTAACGCTTCTTACTACCCATGAACCTCCAAGTATCTCACAAGCGCCATATGCTTGAACAATCAACCCTGGAACCCTGTCTCGCATCCGGCCAAGCAACCCTTATTAATTTCATTTTGTTGAATTCTACCGGTTGCCGGACAAGCTGCTTGAGGTCCTAATCCGCCTCACCAAACTCCTTTTAAGCTGCTTAGGGCAAGGTGCCAAATGCTCCAGCGGCTCTGGTGCATAAACCAAGGGCCCGCGGACGATGCGCTCGTCGCCGGTCAGACTATCAACGAGGCGGTGGTACTGCGTCTTCCTCGGCAAAGCCAAATCGCCGCAAACTCAACGAGAAGAACGCAAATGCAGCCCGATATGCCCCGCAAGGCCATCCCAACCTTCCCTTGTCGTCAGACTCTGCAGAAGTACAGCAGGCGTGCACACGCACACCCACACTTTTCAACGCTGCCCGGTTGGCCCACCAACATGCTGGCAACAAACAGGAGCACGAGAATCTGGCGGGACATGCAGCACAAGCGGCAACCACATGGCTCAACATCCTAGTGAGACTTCCAGCATGTTGAACAAGAACATCCTGCACTTTTCAAACACACATCCTTCCAGCACACACATGTGGTATGGAGGAAGCAACTGCGACGGAGCTTGAACATCAATGATGTCACACGCACAGCTTGCAGGTACATCAACCTGCGTGCACGAATCCCAGCTTCTGAACGAGGGCCGCTCTGCTGTTCTGTGCGAAAAGCCAAGCGAAGGTCGATCCCTTAACAAACATGTCAGTTAGGATGTTCCCCCTTATAGAAGGCGGATGTGCTTCCTGATGCACGTGCTCTGAGCGGTATGGATTCCCCCAACACATGCACACACACACACACACAGACTACTAAACAGCAAAAGAAATATCAGCAATGATCATATGAAAGCCTTAATTTCAGAAATGGTGTAAGTAGAACATGATATTTGCAATGGCATGAGCCATGTCAGCATCATGGTTCTCACCTCTATATATGGTCTTGAGCTGCTAATTGCCTCCGGGTTGGCCAGGAGACTCCCTAGGCTCAACCTCACGACACCCTCGTCATGCCATCACTTCAAGAACATCAGTGGCCCAGTGCAGACAACATGAACAAGCCCATCAGCAAGCAAAAGCCGAACGACATAACCCTAAACCCTAAACCCTAAACCCTAAAGTGGCGGCTGAGCGGCTGGAGCTGAAACCTAGGTGATGCAAGAAGGGTGGCGCAGAGATTCAGGGTTTGGCAGATTTAGGGTGTTGCAGGAGATTGCCCAAAATGAGGACGGCAATGAGCAGACTCCGGAAGATTCTGGATTGAGCAGGGGCCTTGCCTTACCTCAACCTTAAACTGTAGGGCTTAGACCGTCGGACTGTAAGTCTAAGAGAGTAGGGCTGGATTTCGCAGTGGGCATGCGGGTTTGTGCCCAAAGAAAAATGCTGCTTGATCCGAGCTGTTCTTGTTGTGCATGCTGTTGGTCTCTCCCTCTCTCCCTCTCTCCCTCTCTCCCTCTCTCCCTCCCTCTCTCCCTCTCTCCCTACTCTCCCAGCAGGAAGAGCAAATAACTAAACAACTCTGTGGAGGGTGTGGAGCCTTCAGAGCGAAGCGAGAACCCTATTCTACACCCTGAATTTGTGGAAGGTTGGAGGATCTACTACTTGCTTAAGAGCCCGCCAAAATTGCAAAACAACAATCCCTATGTTGCCCTTTAAAAGGAATAAGATTTTATATAATAATTATACTAAAAGGAATAAGATTTTATATAATAATTAAATTTTTGGGGGGTTGTAAGCAAATGGTAGGGATCCTAGAAGCCTCAAAGTTTAGCCTCGCAGCTTCGGCCTCACTCGCTCCACGTCCTGGGAGGAACTGTCTTGCAGGTTTAGGGTTCAGGGTTCAGGGTTTAGGGTTTAGGGTTTAGGGTGGCATGCGCGTCGCGCTCTGCAAACGGGGTCGCGCGCTCGTTGCGCGAATACGTCGCAACCTCAAAGCTAAGGCTTTCGCTGTGAAAAAGTAAAAAAGAAGCCTGTGGGCAACAGGCCGCTGACTTATGAGTCGCGCGTGAGTTGGCGGACCTTTTTTTCCCTCAACCCGAAACCCTTAAGCTTTTGTCTGCAGCCGCTGGAGGGTTTCAATGCTCATCCCTGCCCAACCCCGACAGCAAACCCTACTTATATCTACCAATGAATCTCCAAGTAGCCCTAAACCCTAAACTCTAAACCCTAACCCTAAACCCTAAACCCTAAACCCTACGCCCTAAAGTTTCAGGGATGTCGGGTTGTTGGGTCACACAACGCATGACGGAGTCCTCCATCGGGAGCTGCCACACAAGGCCGGGTCCAAGCACGTGCCGTAGCTCCTCCGGCCCCTAAACTTAGGGTTTAGGGTTCAGGGCTTAGGGTTTAGAGTTTAGGGTTCTCCTACTGCACCATTGATGGGGTAGTATTTTAAAATGATCAGATCGGGTTGTGCATTCATAAGAATGTGCAATGATTTTCAACAACGACCCAGCAAGTGTAGGAGTGTAGGAGTCATATTTTACAATAGAATTGGTGTTCTTTTTGTTTTTTCTTTGGGGGGGGGGGAGGGCGGGGCATTTATACTCTGGACATACTTGGAGGTCCATGGGTAGTAATAAGGAGGGTTATAGGCAGGATAGCTCTAGTCTTAACTTTGTTTGGGGTGCTTCTAAACCTACTCATATAAGTACCCATGAACCTCCAAGTGCAGAGGTTAGAAGGGGACGCTGTTGGTACCCAGGAGGCTCCTGTAGTATATATCTCTTGGAGGGACTGGGCCCTGAATCCTATGCTCGGAACCCCCCCCCCCCCCCCCGCCCCCCCAAGATAGGTGGATCTGGACCCAAAGAGCCCAATACCCCTTAACTAAGCAAGATTCCTTAAATCATAATAAGGATCCCTTTATAATTTAAGGTATATTCCTTATTTAAGGGGTATTGGGCTCTCTGGGGAAAAGCCGTCCTTTGTTTCGGGTTTCGGGTTTCGTGAGCTGCAGGGCCGGATTCAGCACATGGGATGCGGTGTCTCAACCCCCAAGTCTGAACCCCCCCCCTTCCCCCCCCCCCCCCCCCCCAAAAAAAAAAGGATAATAGAAAATAATAATAATAAGAAGAAGAATAGAAAAAATAATAATAATAATAGAACTAATAATAATAAACTCCAAGCCTATAGGAGCCCTGAGTCCAAATGGGAACCAGCTTTAGGATTTAGGGTTTAGGGAGCCGGCCAGAAGACCCCGAAATCCCCGTTGCCCCCTGCAGGGCCTGCGATCTCCGGTTCTTCAAGACCTGAATGGCGGGAAAGGGTTTAGGGTTTAGGGTTTCGGGTTTAGGGTTTAGGGTTCAGGGATCAGGGTTCAGGGTGCTGGTCAGGAGAATGATTGGTCAGCCAATGTTGGCAATTCGTTCACTCGTGAGATACCGCAGTGCTTGCCCTTCCAGTGGCTTTTGTGTCTGCGGCTTCTCGGGCGGAAGTAAACATCGCCCTGCAGCTTGTGTGGGGGCTGTTCGGCTTCGGGTCCTGCCTTAGATGCCGACTGGTAAGGCATCTTAATGATGAGGATAAACGGACCAGAATTCGAAAACCAGTCTACTATAAGCTCTGGGGTTAAGGCCTGCAACGTGGGGCAGATGAGCGCTCTCTGAGCTCCTCACAGCGAACTCAAGCGTCGCAATGCGCGGCACTTTCCGAACTTCCTTGCGAGCGCATGGCCGCCACAGTGACTCTCCCCAGGAAAATGAAAGAACCTTGTGAAACCCAAATGGGGCTTTACGAAGATACGGGACCCCTCATATGGACCCCAAATAGTGGGATTCCCCTGCAATAAGGACCCCAAGAAGGTATCTCCTAATTTCGGAAACCCCCAAGTCTCTTGTGGAGACTCGCCTGCCGCCTACCAGGCTCAAGCCAGGCTAAAGCCTTCAAGATGCAAGTAAGGGCAGTACAATGAGCTCAGTTCAGGATGGTGGCCGGGTGCGCTAGCCTATGCAGCCTTTGAAACACTGAACCAGGAACAACCAACAGCTCTCTTGCAGAGTTGAGATTGGAAAGATCGCCCATTGCTTGCGCTTGCTTCATTATGGCTTAATTCGACAAGTTCGAGTTAAAGTTAAGGTTTAGGCGCGCCAAACGGGGGCTGGCCAGGAAAGGAGTCTGGGTCTGGATCAGATGGCACCGCACTCGCTCCACTTCAACATTCGCACACATTCCTGCGGTGCTTCGATGCTTTTGAGTGGGGAGGATCGCTCGGGGAAGCCCTTGTGGGCATCATCTCCAACCGCCCCAACCCTAAACCCTATAAACTTAAGCTATCACTCACCACCCCCAACCGCCCCAACCCTAACCCCCAAACCCCAAACCCCAAACCCCAAACCCCAAACCCCAAACCCCAAACCCCAAACCCCAAACCCCAAACCCCAAACCCCAAACCCCAAACCCTAAACCCTAAACCCTAAACATCCCTAAACCCTAAACCTGCCTGTGCTGGTCAAGGCTCCCAGCCCTCACGTTGCTGATGTGGCCAGAGGATCAAAGTGCCCGGGCCATCCCTGCCCAGGGGGGGGTCTCCGCATGGGGTGGTGACGTTTCAAGCCTCAGCCTTAAATCCTAAGCCACTCTGAAACCCTGTAAGTTTAAGGGTTTAGGGTTGCGGTTGAGGGTTGAAGCCCCTGTAAACTCTTGAGCCCACCCGTAAGGCCAGAATCCCGAAGCAGTTCTCAGGGGCCTAGGATCTTGGGTGGCAACGTGCCAGGGTGGTCTCTGCTGCGAGAGCCGGGTTTAGGGGTTTAAACTCTCTCACACTCTAAACCCTAAACCCTAAACCCTAAACAGTCACGGCAGGCAGGGCCCGACTTCTCACACCCTGGGGTTTAGGGTTTAGGGTTTAGGATGTTCAGGGTTTAGGGCAAGTTCGTCTGGGGTCCATAGAACTACACCTGCCCTGACAGGCGCTTCCCTACTTTCGGAAACCCCCAGATAGGCTAGGATGCATTGAAGTTGGCATCGCCGACAAGAAAGAGTGGTACGCCGCGCTTCTACCCCCCAAACATATCTAGAAACAAAGGGTTTTTGCCACCCGCCAAGCAGACACGCCGCACTGCAAAGGGTTTGGGGTTTAGGGTTGGGGGTTTAGGGTATCCCAGCTCATGCAACTGGACTTCCCCATGAACCCTTTTGCATGGGAGCCCAGGATGGAAAATGGATTGGGCTCTCGAGCACCTGACCCACTCGCCATACAAAGTGGGGACCACCAATTGCTCGTCCTGCCAGCTAGCCCAGAAACCGCCATGTCTTAGCTTTTAAAGCAACTTAGGTGGCTGTCTTCTCTTGCTTGGTTTGATTCGGTCAACGGTAGGTACATGCCGCTGCGCTTCATAATCCTGGGGTGCCTGACGCAGGTGCTTCTAAGGCTTCAGGGGCTCGTTTCATCCACCTCACTGCAGACCTATCCGAAGTCATAGCCCCGAAGAAATCCAAGATTGTGGCGTTGGCGTCT